CTGAGAGGAGGGAAACGTAGAATATAGACAACTAGCCTGTGCCCAGCCCGTCTCACCACACCCTCACCACCACCACCACCACGCAAACCACACGGACAAGCTGATCTCCAAGAACTCCAGAGTCACTCAGGACCCCTCCTCCCAGCACTCCATCACCACCCCCGAGGGCCAGGCCCCTCTCCCTGCACAAGAGGGACACCTTCCCTTCCCCCAGGTCAACTGTGACCCCTTCTGCCCCTCCCCAGAGGCCCAGCCCTCCACCCCTGTCTGCCCAGGTGCCCCACAGAAGGGCTGAGTTGGCCATGGCGGTCACACCTCACACACCGGCGGCTGCATCTCTGACCGAGGGAGGGGGCCCCATACAGACGGGCGCTCAGGAATCAGGGGTCACATGCGGTGGCCAGTGGAGGGCCCCCCAAAGGACGCCACGGAAACGGTTGTGTTCCGTAGCTATGAAACGGGCCAACGCATTCCACACACGCAGGGGCAGAAGGACAGCAAGTGGCCTGTGCCGACCAGGCCCTGGCCTGGCGCTGGCCCTGAACTCCCGCCTGCTTCCTGCACTCAGCCCGGGCACTGCCACAGGCATCCTCTGTCTTCTGCTTCTTCATCTTCTTTGCTAGTGAATAAATGTAACATCTGGTCTCTGTAACAACGGATTTGAAGATGGGTTTCTTATGCCTTCATGAAATGACATTTTAATCTTGACCTAATTAGCTGATAGATTTTTATCCTCACCCGAAGCTGTGTTTTATTGAGGAGAGGAGAGGGAGAGGGAGAGGGGGAGGGGGAGGGGGAGGGGGAGGGGGAGGGGAAGGAGGGAGGGGGAGGGAAGGAAGGAGGGGAGTGGGAGGGGAGGGAGAGGGGGAGGGGAAGGAAGGAGGGGAGGGGGAGGGGAGGGGGAGGGGGAGGGGGAGGAAGGAGGGGAGAGGGGAGGGGGAGGGGGAGGAAGGAGGGGGAGGGGAGAGAGAAACATCATTGTAAGAGAGAAACACCTATCAGTTGCCTCCTGTCTGCACCAGACCAGGAATCAAACCTACAACTTCTGGTATATGGACCGACAATCCAACCAATGGAACCACCCAGCCAGGGCTAATTAGCTGGTTTTTAAAACTGGCTGCGGACAACTCACACCCATTAGGTGATTTCAAAAAGAAAGAAAGGTGGGGAGGGAAGAAGAAGGAAGGAAGGAAGGAAGGAAGGAAGGAAGGAAGGAAGGAAGGAAGGAAGGAAGGAAGGAAGGAAGGAAGGAAGGAAGGAAGGAAGGAAGGGAGGGAGGGAGGGAGGGAGGGAGGGAGGGAGGGAGGGAGGGAGGGAGGGAGGGAGGGAGGAAGGAAGGAAGGAAGGAAGGAAGGAAGGAAGAAGGAAGAAAAAAAAGGAAGGAAGGAAGGAAGGAAGGAAGGAAGGAAGGAAGGAAGGAAGGGAGGGAGGGAGGGAGGGAGGGAGGGAGGGAGGGAGGGAGGGAGGAAGGGAGGGAGGGAGGGAGGGAGGGAGGGAGGGAGGGAGGGAGGGAGGGAGGGAGGGAGGGAGGAAGGAAGGGAGGAAGGAAGGGAGGAAGGAAAGAAGGAAGGAAACAAACTACACATGTTGTTGAAGATGTGGAGAAATTGGAACCCTGTGCACTGTTAGTAGGAATGAGAAAGGTGCAGCCACCGTGGAAAACAGTACAATGGTTCCTCGAAAACTGAAACATAGAACTACAGTGCGACCCAGCAACTCCACTTGTGGTATTTACCCACAGAATTAAAATCGGGGACTCACAGAGATTCTTGTCCGCCCACCTCCATAGCAGCATTACTCACAACAGCTCACAGCTGGGAGCGGCCCAAGAGGCCACGGGCAGGTGAACGGATAATAAAACGCGCCGTACACGTACAACGGACTGTTATTCAGGCTTAAACGGAGAGGGATTCTGGCATCTGCTACGATGGGCATCGACCCTGAGGACTGTATGCCAAGTGAGGTCAGACAGACACAAAAGGGTAAAAAGCATATGACTTCCTACATGAGATTCCTAAAGTTTTTGGAGATAGGAAGTAGAATAGCAATTATCTGGGGATGGGTTAAAATTTGATGAGTACAGGGTGTCAGTTTAGAGCAGTGGTTCTCAACCTTCCTGAAAGAATAAAAATGTTTAAAAGCTGTCTGTGTTATCTCAACTACCCAAGGTCTCTCTCTGGCTAGTGATGGGAACAGAGCCCTTAGAGCTGTCTCAGGGAACAGCCCCCGAACAGGGTGGTCAGCCAAGGGGACCCCTCCTACTCTTGCTTCTAGGCCTGACCTGTGGGCCCATCATAATTAATGGGTTGGTAGCTTTTGTTAGAGAGCGTGTTCAGACTGTTAAGCTGTTAGCCCTAACCACCCAATACAGACGAATCGTGCAGGCTGAAGACACAGCTGTCTAGCTAACTGCTGATTTCTTGCTTTTGTAAACTTGCTTGCTTGCTTGCAAAGAAAGGAGGCCAAGGATTTGACCTCTGCTAAGGAACTAAAAGCAGTGGGGAATGAGGAGTGGAAAATAACTAACCTTGCCTGGAGGGTAGAAAGTTGCTACTCCTTCCCCCCTCCTGGACCTGAAGGCCAAATCGATAGTCTGGGTTAGTCAAGGCTGAAGGCCAGATCAACAGTCTGGGTTAGTCAAGGCTAAGATAGCAGAGCAAGCCAAGATGGGAGATTAGGTCATCTGGCTGATGCATGCAACCACAAGGTTAATCAGCTTCAGCCCCGGGGACCACCACCCCCCTTGTTTGGAATGGGCTTGTTTGAAGAGTGCTTAAAAGGAGACTACTTTGTAACGGCTGCTGCTGCTCCTGGCCGGGGCAGCAGCCCAGATTCGAATCTGTAATAAAGTTTGTTATCTGACTCCGCAATTGGCTACTTGGAGTCATTTCCCGGGTAGGGGTCTCTGCCTCTTGGGTGGTTTCATCTCCATTCAACACTTCCTAACGCCGAGACCCTTTAAGACAGCTCCTCATGTGGCGGTGATCCCCAACCATAACATTATTTTCGTTGCTACTTCACAACTATAATTTTGCTTCTGTTATGAGTCATGATGTAAATATCTGTGTTTTCCGATGGTCTTAGGCGACCCCTGTGAAAGGGATGTTTGACCCCCAAAGGGGTCTCGACCCACATGTTGAGAACCAACCGCTGGTTCAGAGGGACAAAGCATTCTGGAGAGGATGGTGGCGATGGCCACGCGCGGCACACTAACTGAAGTGAGCACAAAGGGGCTGCGTGAAAACCTGACACGCTCAGGGCACCGCGCCGATCATGTCCTTGGCCTATGGCTTCCTCAGCAGGAATTAATCTGCCTCCGTGGAGCCCTGCCCAGCGTTCTTCCGCGTCTGGGATAACCTGACTTTGAAATGTCAGAGTCGTTTCCTTTTCCGACCCCTCCAAGGCACAGCCCGGGCACCAGAGCTCCAGCCCTCAGAGCACGTCACTGCCATCTCTCGCCCACATACCGCCTCTGTGTGCCGTAAACGCTCACTACCACTCCTCCTGTGCCCTCATCACTACCACTCCTCCTGTGCCCCATCACTACCACTCCTCCTGTGCCCCATCACTACCACTCCTCCTGTGCCCACATCCCTACCACTCCTCCTGTGCCCCATCACTACCACTCCTCCTGTGCCCCCTCATCCCTACCACTCCTCCTGTGCCCCATCACTACCACTCCTCCTGTGCCCCATCACTACCACTCCTCCTGTGTCCCATCACTACCACTCCTCCTGTGCCCCATCACTACCACTCCTCCTGTGCCACCGGGTAAAAGAAGCATGTGTCTGATGTGCAGTCTATCCAGTCCTAGAGATTTCCCCATGCTGCCTTTTCCCGCCTCCACCACGAGGGTGGCCATGCCCCTTCCTGCGTGTTCTCCTTTGATTCCGGAGGCACAACAGGGACTGCAAAGTGATTACTCCCAGGAGCATTTTCCCAATCCCTTGAGACCTTGCTTCTGGGCACGTCCTCAAAATGTGGCTCCAATAGCCCTGACCAGTTTGGCTCAGTGGATATGGAGCGTTGGCCTGCAGACTGAAGGGTCCCAGGTTTGATCCTGGTCAAGAGCATGTACCTTGGTTTCAGGCACATCCCCAGTTGGGGGGTGTGCAGGAGGCAGCTGATTGATGCTTCTCTCTCAGTGATGTTTCTGACTCTCTGTCCCTCTCCCTTCCTCTCTGTAAGAAATCAATAAAATATTTTTTTTAAATGTGGCTCAAATAAACTCATACACCTTTTCTTTGCTGACCTTCGTTACATTGGTTAAGTTTTGTCATGTACAGTTTACGATGCCAAATAAATAAATTAGCTGCGTATGTAAGCTTCTGCCAAACAAAAACCCTCTGGGAACCAGCGGACCATTGGCCACCTGGCAGTTCCCTCACTGGCAAGGCAGTGCGCCTGGTGTCTGTTCCCACCCATCTTTCTAACATCTCTTTAGAGAAAGGACTAAAAGTCAGGTGTCCACTAATACGCATCCTGGGTTCTAGTAGAGACCATGCTAGTAGCATCACGCTTTCTAGAATTTGGGGCGGTTTGTGTTCTATTCCTTTGGAGTGTGGAGCAAACATGTCCACAGTTCACTGAGAGCTCTGGCATGTCTCATCCTGGGCCCGTGAGGGGGAGACACCTGCCCCCCGTGTGCTGCCTGAGGAGCCGTCAGGACCCAGGCACTGTCGGAAAGACCCGATTGGTTGAGCATTGTCCCGTGCACCAAAGTGATGCCAATTCAGTTCCCGGTCACGGCACATACCCAGGTTGTGGGTTTAATCCCCAGTCAGGGAGCGCTTAGAAGGTCCTCCCTTCCTCCAGCTGATGGACAGACGTAAACCCCACCTGCAGCTAGACATTCCTGAGCACTGAACCACCAATCAGCATCTGCCAAATACCCTAGGCCCCCATTCCTAAGTCCCAAGGTCCCCAATCATAGGCCTTACATGAAACCACCAATCAGCGTGTGCTGAGTGCCCTAAGCCCCGTCCTCTATCCTCCCCTAA